CTCGGCCTTAAAGCATTTCCATTTCCCTAGCTTGCCTGAGGTTTGATCCCCAGCACCACTACCAACAAAAAGGCCTCTTCCTGTAAAATAAACAGATATAACAGACATGCAGACACACACACATTCACACATACACACACACATTCACACATACACATTCACACACATATACACACATTCACACACACACAGTGATACACACATATACATACATTTCACACACACACACACACACACACACACACACACACAGATACATACATTTATACACACACACAGAAAGGACCCAGTAAACAGAAGCACATTTACAATTTAAAACAATTTGACACACCCACAACCTTTTTTCTTGCCACTAAGGATGGAGCTCAGTGGTAGAATGTTGGCCTAACATATGTAAGGCCCTTGTTCATTTCCTCGTACTGTCAAATAAATAAATAAATAAAGTATTTCTTATCTCTTTAACTTGGCAAGAGAAAACTTGCTGAGTTTCAGTGTCAATTGGACCTAGTAATTAATATGGCAGTCACTATTTTTGTGTTGTTGGCTTCAGGGTTTTGCTTTTTGTTTTGTTCTCAAGTATATTTTACTAATTTGTTCAAAGGCTTCTTGGCTCCAATAAAAACACTGATATAATGTGCATGGGGACTGGAGAGATGGCTCAGCAGTTAAATGGGTGTACGTCCTTGCAGAGGACATGAGTTTGGCTCCTAGCACCCATATGGCTAGACCTCTTCTGGCCTCCCCAAGCACCTTACACAATCACACGTGTTGAGCAGATGCACATGTGAGCACACACACACATACACACTAATAACAGTAAATATTTTTAAAGCCTGTTTAATATGGAACACAGTTGTGTACTGTTTTCTTCTCTCCACTAGAATGGTTTACAGAATACAAAGCAGACCTTTACAAAGTCCAAACTATGACAAGGTAGCATTAAAACTATTTCAGCAAGAGGCATTTCAGTTCCTGAAATCTATCTAAAAGCAGAAGCTCCCAAAATAACTCAATTATTAAAGAAGCAGGGAAGATGGACCCATCATCAGAGACAGGCCTCCACTGTGCATCCCAGCAGACACTGCCATACAACTGCCCTGACCCCTTTTATCCTCCTCAGGGCCATCAGGTCATTCATTTTTCTGTGACTGCTCCTCCCCATCTCCCCTGAGAATGGTGTGGGAGCCCCAACCACTTGGCTTTCTAGTAGGCTCCCATAAATACGCTAACAAATATGACTACATTTTGTCTTTTCTCTTGCTAATCTGCCTTTTGTCAAAACTCACAATTCCCATGCACAGAACCTAAAGGGATAAGGACCAAGAAAGGATCTCCTTTCTCTACAAGCTTCTATTCCTGTAAGTCTTTGTACACAGTGAATCTGGACTCTTCATATAGATCTTGCTATGAGAGTGAGCCCTGAGTACTAGTATGGAGGCCACAGCAATGTGTTCTAAATGCCCCTGCCAGGACCACACACCAGGAATCTGTCATTAGGACTGCATCAGACAACAGAGACAAGCCAAGGGACCCAGAGGAAACTTCCAAATACTCCTAAGTAAACTTGAACCATTACTACAGTAAATGAAAAATTACACAGACAAAGAGAAGAAGAGCAACAGGTCAACCTCGGAAGGCTAAAAGCAGAGTGTGGAACTATGTGAGCCAAAGTAACACTTCAAGTTTTAATTAATATGTCTTAGAGATCCATGAAACAAAAAATGCCTCTCATCTGCAGGTCCCTTGCCCAAGGACAGACAGTTCCTAAACTGCTGGAGACTATTGTTTATGGGCAATAAGAAGTCACATGTTTGTACTCCCCTAAACAAGTTTGCTTGACCCATATGCACCAAATGTGCTTGAGCACATGTGGGCGGGAGGTTCACAGGCAGGAAATATGTCATGATGTACGTTTGCCCCTGATTGGATGTAGGCTGGCGTATGTCAAGATGTATGCTTACCCCTGACTGGACCTGATGGGAAATACTTAAGCCACTGTAAACTGTGACTCGGGGTCATTTTCTAGAAACTCAAGAGATGGACCTGGCCAGAGCCCATCCACCTGGCCAGAGTTTAATTAAAGCTTGCTTCAAATTTGGCTTTAAACTGATGTAGTGGTCTTGTTCTCGACCAGAGGGATTAAAAGAACCAGTCTGGCATGGTTCCATCACTGTCGGCAGTGAGAGGTACTTTGGTTGCTACAACCATCAAACAGAATTCACAGGAAGAGAATGTAGCAACACTTAAAACTCACTTAGCTGAATGTCATTCTTCAAGTTACCCAGTCCTCTGTAGCCAAACTAAGTCGGCCCCAAGAAGGAAGTGGGCACCCACGGGCTATCATCTGTTCACATTCCTGCCTGCCTATAGCTTCAGGTGGGGGGGGACAGTGCCAGCGTCTCCTCCTCCACTCTGCTCTATGAGATGACTCTTTAAACAAACATGAATGTGCTTGTAAGGTTCACTTAGCAGAAGTAAGAGAGTCGGGGGACCTGCAAGCACAGAGACAACGTCACCAAAAGCAGACAGAGGACTGACAACCAGAAGACACCACCGAAGCCCTCGGGCCAATAGCAGTCAGCTTTGCAACTATGCAAACGCCTTTGGGTCTTCCCTTCCCAAAATCCTCAACTCAAGGTCTCTCTCTCTCTCTCTCTCTCTCTCTCTCTCTCTCTCTCTCTCTCTCTCTCTCTCTCTCTCTCTCTCTCTCTCTCCCTGTCTCCTCTCTCCAGTAAGTGTTTCTTAAGTGTTCACAAATGGCCCAGAACTAAGATGTATGGGGCTGTAAAATAGACAGTAAAGTAGACAGCAAATAGACATTGAACGCGGTGGGCGAGGGTGGAAGGATGGGTAAGAACCAGCTTCGGGAAGGGAAAGAGGTTCAAGTGAAGAGCGCAGAGACAACAGGCACTCAGGACATCCAGGGGGGTATGGAGAGATGGTTCAGTGGTTAAGAGCACTGGCTGTTCTTCCTGAGGACCAGGTTCAATTCTCAGGACCCACATGGCAGCTCACAAGTATCTGTAATTCCAGTTCCACGGGACCCAACACCCATGGCAAAACACCAATGTGCATAAAAAAAAAAAAAAAAAGAACATCCAGGAACTGAAAACATCAGTCCAACTGGGTTTAAAACAGGTAGTACAAGCCGGGTATGGGGGTGAACATCTGTAATTCCAGTCCTAGTGCGATGGATGCTGAGGCGGGAAGCCAGGCGGGAGTAGAGGACTCTGCAAAGTGGGTTTCAAGCCAGCCAGAGCTACACAGGGAGGCTGTCTCAAAAAAACTAAATCAACACTAAAAGTCCAGACAAGCAATCAAGGCGAGGGAGGATGAACAGGGTCAGGAAGTAAGGAAGGTCAAGCGAATTTGGACGCTTTTTTTTTTTTTTTTGGCGGGGTGGGGGGTGGGGCTGCAGCTGGGGGGGCAGTATCTCACGCAAGCTAGGAAGGAAGGCACTCAGCCCCAGCAGTCAAGCGACCAGAGGAATTTTTGTGTCCCTTCCCACCCCCGCTTTACTATGGTCTCTTTTTGCTTCTCCACTGAAGGCCATTTCACTTCCTTTGTGAGCTTAAGTAAAAGGTAAATTTCAACCAAGACAGTGGTCCCGTATACCTCAGGGAAACCCTTCTCCTGACTGCTATTTTTTTTTTCACCTTGACACAGCAAATAATCCTCTATACAATTTCTGTGAAAGTTTTATTAGTCTTTTGACCTCTTGGCCTGCCTCAAGAGTTAAACTGGCAGCCAAGTTTAAAGAGAAAATACCCTGGGGAGATAATTTCCGGCCATCAGAGTCCCAGATTAACTTAATTGCCTGACTTTCCCCTCATTAGAAACTTCCTCAGAAAGGCAAATCGCTCACTTCGGGAAGGGAACACCCACAAATGCCTGGGCTGTGCCTTAGGCCTAGGGAAGGTACAGGATCCCAGAGGGAGGCAAAATCGCAATTCACTGTTTTACCATCTCAATAGGAGCCAGGAATTGCAGCCAGGAGCAAAAGAAGTTACCTTTGTTCCTTCCCCCGCATTTTCCTGTGTATTGTTTGCTGTTGGGTCTCCAGGCAGAACAGAGTGTAGTATTGGTCGGAGCAGTCCTAGAGTGAGGGGTGAACACACACCCTCCAGGAGTAGATGGGGGCGCAGAGCCCAGTCCTCCCGATTTTTGCTAGGCCACTCCCAGGATCTCTTGAAGGCAAGTCCCCATGCCTGTAATTCCAGCACTCTGGAGACTGAAGCAGGTTTCCCGAATTTCTAAACCCCTTTAGGCTACAGCTTGTTTCGTTTTTTTTTTTTTTGTTTTTTTACATTCACACACATATTTATACATACATATAAACACACATACATAATATGTATACACATGCATACATATGTACATACACATAAATGTATACATGCATATAGACATATATGATTATATGTGACAATATGAAATCTAGGAGCCACAAATAAGAAAAAAACACATGATACAATGTTTGTCTTTCAAGGACTGAATTCACTTGCTTGAAATGATCACCATTAGTTGATACACTCACTTCCTTTTCCTTTATGGCTAGAAAAATTTCACTGTGGTATTTTTGTTTTGTTTTTGTTTGTTTGAATTTTTGTTTCGTTTTTGAGACAGTCTCACAATGGAGCCCTGGCTGGCCTGAACTCAGAATGTAGTTCAAACCGGCCTTCGCTGAATTCAGAGAATCTCCTGCCTCAGTTAGAAATAAGTTCAAGTTACAAAGAGACCACCACTCCAACTGAAGTGGCTAGACAAGGCAAATTTCATTCTTTATCAAGAGGGTGTGCTTAGGAAGAGCAAACACACATAGACAGAAAGTGAGTGCATTTGGTTTTTATTCAACTCAGCTGAGTATTTTCCCTGCTGGGTCCAAGTCCTTGGGGGGGAGGGGGCAGGGAATCACAGCTCCAGGCATCAAATTCCTGGAATGCTGCAGCGGGCACAAGTTTTACCAGGTGGAGGGGATTAAAACATTGGCCAGAAAGTCTTACAAGATGGGGGGGAGGGAAGACTTGGAGGCCGAGGGGCTTCGACCCAGCTGAGAAACGAAGAGCCGCTGGCAGCGCCGATCTCCCCAGCGCGCAGGTTTTAAGAACTTTAGCTCTCAAAATGGGCAGAATCTTCCTAGATCATATCGGCGGTACCCGTCTGTTTTCATGTGCAAACTGTGATACGATCCTTACCAACCGCTCAGAACTCATCTCTACTCGGTTCACAGGCGCTACTGGTAGAGCGTTTCTTTTTAACAAGGTAGTTAACTTGCAGTACAGTGAAGTTCAAGATCGGGTCATGCTCACTGGCCGCCACATGGTTCGAGATGTGAGCTGCAAAAACTGCAATAGCAAACTGGGATGGATCTATGAGTTTGCTACTGAAGACAGCCAGCGTTATAAGGAAGGCCGTGTGATCCTGGAAAGTGCACTAGTTCGAGAGAGTGAAGGCTTTGAGGAGCATGTACCATCTGATAACTCTTGAAGAAAAAACGATAAATCCGTCTTTTCCCAGGTCTCCTTCACTGAAAACAGAAATCTACTTACATACACTGTCACCTTAGCATCAGAATCGGATTCATGAACTGCAAACAAGAGGGTGTGAGAATCTGAGATGGAACCTTTCTTTCTTTCTTTTCAATTTTGTATTTCCCATCCAACAGCAGTTTGTAGAGAGAATTTTTGCAGATGCCGTTAATTTTTTCCTTTTGTTTACATCTTGAGGCAGATGAGTCTGCAGTTATGTGGTGGGCTGTGTGAGGGGAAACTTGGCCCCTACAGTGAAAAGGAGTGTTTTTTGTACATTTTGCGTGGAGAATATGTCAAGAGCATGGTTTTTAAATTTATTTGGGCTTTGTTTTAACTTTCTTTTAAACCCAGTTATTTCACTTAATTTGCTAGCTTCAAGAAGAGATCCGAATCTGTGCCCAGCGCTGGAGGCTCAGTGTTAGTGTGGCTTGTGCTGGCCAGTGTGCCATATTCTTGTTGGAGAGGAACTGTAGCACCAGAACCCATTCTTCCTTGTCAGTCCTGACCCACAATGTCACCACCCCTAGTTGCTTGTCACCAAACACGTGGTGTTGATTGGAGATTCCCTGAAATGGGGCAGAACTGATTGGCTGTCTTTTCCATGTAACTTAAGCATAGTAATATAAATAAAGTGATAGTTGGAAAAAAAAAAAGATGGGAGGAGATAAAGATTCAAAGACCTTATCCCAAGTACAAATTGTGTAGTATTTGATAGAAAAGTCTCAAATTTAGTATTTCTTTCACCTCTGAGTGCGGGGAGTAATGGTGTGGACCACCCTACCTGGTGCCTTGTTTTCAGGGAATACCAAATGCCACAGAGGAAGGGAATCGGGTAAAGTCTTCCCTTGTACAGACAAGAAAATGCTGTTTCCGGACGGTAAAACAGCAAAGCAGCTGTCGGTTACTGTGCCTAGGAGCAGTGCTGGGAGAGGAAGCAGCGCCAGTGGCCAGCTTCTTGTTTTCAAGCCCAGAGCAATTTGAGTTATCAGTATAGCATTTCTATTTTACACTAGCAGAAGGAAACTGGCTTAGGAAGTTTAAGTAACAAGATAAAATTCACTGGTGAGGCTAGAGAGTTGACTCCGAGGTTAGAGCACTTGCAGCAGAGCCAGGCTCGGTTCCCAGCACCCACCAATGACTCACAACCATCCCCAGGCTTCAATTCCAGGGGCGCTGATACCCTCTTCTGAGCTCCACCTGAGCCGGACACACATAGTGCACAAACATATGTGAAAGCAAAACACACATTCTCCCTCCCTTCCTTCCTCCCCCCCCATACAGAATAAATACCTTTTTTTTTTTTTTTAAGTCTCTCTGTTTCCCTGGCTGTCTTTGAATTCACTGGGTTGAACAGGCTGGCCTCTAACTCAGAGCTCTGCCTCTCAGGTGCTAGGATTAAAGATATAAAACACCATGCCTGGCCACATAAATACATTTTTAAGAAAATTCACAAGTGAGGGGCTGGAGAGATGGCTAGGTGGTTAAGAGCACACAAGCACTGCTCTTGCAGAGGACCCAAGAATGATTCCCAATTTCTGTTACTTCATCTCTAGGGAGACCTGCCACCTCTAGGCTCCGTGGTCACCTGAATTCTCTCTGTCTCTGTCTCTCTCTCTCCTCTCAGGTGTTAGTTTCTGCCACCGCAGCAGCAGCAGCACCTACGTCATCACTTGTCGCCGACCTGTGCACCCTTTAACAGTGCTCGCCAGGCACAGCTCACCCACCATCTTTGCCTTTTTACCTCTCTTGTCTCTCTTGCCTCTTTCCCCCCTCATTGCCTCTTCTTTCCTCTTTTGCCTCTTTCTCTCTTGTCTGCCTCGCTCTTGTCCCCGCTCCAACATGCCTTTCACTCTCTCCCTCCCCCAATAAACCTCTTGCACTACGTGGTGCACGTGGCGTGTTTGCTTAGTGGCATACCTTGGCAGGGCCTGCCAACAGGTACCTGCTATCGCTTCACTTCCTTTTTATTTATTCTTTCAACAGGTAAGTCTTGGTCAACTCAAAGAGCCTACTTACACTTGGATTTCAGCTATTCTAACGCACTTGGGCATTGGACATGATTATATGTATTTATATACTGTTGTGGGTTCAAGCTGAACTGGGTCTCAACCTCAAATTCTGCCACTTGCTGCCAAATGATGAGGTAATAGTCTGTAGGGTAGTTATGAGGATTATATTACAATACAAGCAATGTTCAGGGTATAGAACACATCAAAGATGACATCTAAAAGTCCACAAAGAGCAAACGAGAGTGACAAGGACCAATACACATGCCAGCAGGGAGTGAAAAATCTGAACAGCAGAGATAAACTGGGCTGGGAAGCCAGTCATTTCCCCAGAGTAGGGAGAGCTCCTGGCAGGCAAGTGTGAAGACCTGGGTTCAGGACCTCAGAACCGATGGGAAAACCTGGCTGAGGGAGGCAGCCTCCTCCAGCAACCCCAGCCTTGGGGGTAGCAGACGTCGGCCAGCTAGCCTACCTAATCTATGAGCTTATGATTTCTTGAGAGGCCCGGTTTCAAAAAATAAGAAGAGAGAGATGGCTGTTTCTTCAAAGAGCTAAGGTTTGATTCCCAGCACCTACATGGTAGCCCAAAACCATGTGTAGCTCCAGTTTCATGCGGACAAAACACTCAGACACATAACTAAAATTTAAAATAAATGGGTAGAAAGCAACAGCTAAAAGACACCATAAGCCTACCTCGGGTGTGAGTAAACACCGACACTAACATGTCCACACACATACACAAAGACTTACTAAAAAACCAAGTAACTAAGTGGAACTATTTAATGGGAGAAAGATGTAATAAAAGACAGGAATACACAATGACACAAGACTCTGGTCCTCAGAACACCTACATGCAGGCTATAGCAAAGAAAGCATATACAGTTATGAGACCAATGAGTGGGAAGTCATTCATATTTTCTCTATAAGGGAGCATTAATGCTTAGTTTCACTACAACCTTAAGGATTAGTGAATCAATATTTTAAAATGCTGATTGGAGCTGGTCTACAAGAGCTAGTTCCAGGACAGGCTTCAAAGCTAGTTCCAGGACAGGCTTCAAAGCTACAGAGAAACTCTGCTCAAAAAACCAAAACCAAAACAAAACAAAAATGCTGATTGGTCCTCAGTCCTGTCAAACAGGTATTAAACTAAAAACTACGTTTTCCCCACTTTACAGAGTTTATGCTGAGCACAAGTGAGTTGAGTGAAAGAAGATCTGTAATCCTATACTAAATGCTAATCTTGAAAATAAAAGTGTAAACATCCTAATTTAGCGAATTAGCTAATTGGATTTTACTATGACTACTGGCTGCTTTCCAGCTAGTATATGCATAAATACAAAATTATTTCATAGTAAATTCAAGTGCATATGTAGCAAGCCAGGGCTCTGTTACTTCCATCAGACGGGCCTGCGAGCGTGTCTGCAGGGCATTTGTTTAGCTAATCCATGTAGGAGGGCTCAGCCCAAAAGAGACAATACCATCCCAGGGCAGGTGGGCATGGGCTACAGAAGATGGGGAAAGATCAGTGATCAGAGCTGGGTACCCCATGGTTTGTATTTCAGTTCCTGCTTCCGGGTTTCCTCGGTGATCAGCCTTTGGTCACGATGCTTATGACAACAGAAAAGCCAATGCAAACACTACCCTTCCCCTCTCCAGACCTGGCTGAAGAGGATGGCCGGTTTACTTTACTCCAGCCCCTAGCAGCAGGGCTGGTGGATCATCCCCGCATTCTGGGGCTAACAAGCCCAGTCCACACTGAGCCCGATAACAGCCGACTAGAGAAGGTCCAGAGGGAGCCACGGAGGAAGGTAAAGAACCTTGCTTATAAACCAGTTGACCAATGATGACATCATTCACTTCACGGTTGCTGGCATACAAATCTAGCAGGCAGAGCCCAGCCCTGTGGATAATGAGAAGTAAACCTTGTGGTCCACATTTACAGGGAAGCAGTGCCTCCCAGAGGCCAACACAGGAGAGCAGCAGTCATTGGAGAGACAAATGACAAGGGAGGAACATGCATGTGAGAGAATAAAGTGATTTCATATCATGTCCAGCTCGTTCCCTCTATCGGGATATTCTCCCAGGCAAGCACTAACTAAGTGATTTCATATCATGTCCAGCTCGTTCCCTCTATCGGGATATTCTCCCAGGCAAGCACTAACTAAGCAAGGCCTGTTTAGCTTCCAGGATCACGTGAGATTAAGCATGCTCGGGTCAATACAGGAAGAGACTACAAGAATCATTTCTATAAAGTTCAAATGTGTTGTTTTTGAGGCAGAGTTTCTCTGTTGTAGCTCTGGCTGCCCTGCAACTCCCTCTGTAGACCAGGGCGAGCTCAAACACACAGAGATCTGACCGACTCTACCTTCCGAGGACTGGGACTAAAGGTGTGCGTGCCACCACACCCAGCTGTGTTGTTCCGTTTTATTTAAAATGTGGACGTTTCTCTTCTCTTCATTTTAGTTTCAGTGTCTTGTTCCCCTGTTCCATAGTTTGCCAGCCTATTAGTCACAATACCCTGCAACTCCATCACTTTGCCCTGGATTTGAACTTGAGAAAAAAAAATCAGTTCTCATAACCCCTGGCTTCAATTTTATGGGTGAATATAAACTAGATGTGGCTGAGGTGATCTGGATGGGAGGTAAAGCAAAGTCTTATCGAACATCTCAGCATATACAGGCACAGGGTGAAGTGTGAGGCACGACCTGCTACTTCTCAGTAAGACAGCGTGTGTGTGTGTGTGTGTGTGTGTGTGTGTGTGTGTGTATATACAGGCGGCAGTGGCACACACCTTTAATCCCAGCACTCAGAAGCCAGAGGATCTCTGTGAGTTCGAAGCCAGCCTGATTTACAGCGTGAGTTCCAAGATAGGACTGTTTCACAGAGAAACCCTGTCTCAAAAAATGAAAACCAAAAAAACAGTGCACATAAATACCAGTTCTCAAGAGTTCTGCCAAGATCAACAAGCTTTGTTGAGGCTCTAGACACAACTGGGGAAATTCTAAGATGAGGTGAACCGCTGAGCTTACTGCCTGGTTTTCCATTTCACAAAGATGAGCCATAGTTCAGCTGGGTACGTAAGTAAAGATAGTCATCGGAAGCAGCCAATGACTAGAGACTGAAGTGGAAAAGCAAGAGGGACGGGGACAGGGCGGCGGAGGGGGCGGGGGGGGGGGGCGAGCCAGATAGAGAAACCTCCTATCAAACCTCATCCTTCCGTGGTTTGTCACCTGACACAATCACTTCATTTCCCTCTTCCAATAGGCTCCTCCTCTATGAAAAGGTCTAGGGGCTATTGCGGCTCAGTAGTTTGTATGAGGCCCTGTGTTTGATCCTCAGCTCCCAGAAAACTAGCAAGTCAAAGATGAAGCCAGGCGTAGTGTCTCCTGTTTAGGAAGCTGAAGCTGGGGGACTGGCGCAAGCTTAAGGCCTACAAAGGAAT